AAGTATTAAAAGCATGAACCAAATCTACTTTCGTGTCTTGCGAGTACTTCAGTAAAATCTTTTCGGCCTTGTCCAGTGCATCGTATTGGATCAATCCGGACACAAGGGCACTGAAGGATGACCCATCACGCGTTGGCATACTTTCAAAAAGCTTGCAAGCTCTCTTCACATTGCCATTGTTCAAGAACCCTGTGATCATGGCATTCCAAGTGACCATATTCTTTTCCGGCATACCCTCAAACAGCCTCACAGCATCGCCCATCCTCCCATTCTTTGCGTACCCACTAATCATGGTATTCCATGAGACGAAATCCCTCTTGGGCATTTTGTCAAACAGGTCTCTACCTTCCTCCACATGCCGACAGGAAAGGTAACCTGAAATCATCAAGTTCCACGACGCAACATCCTTCAAAGGCATTTCATCAAACAGTAACCGAGCATTTGCAATCTCCCGACGTCTAACATACCCACTGAGCATAGAATTCCAGGTTACAGTGCTTCGCTTAGACAATTTATCGAAGAATGTGCGTGCATCCTGAAGCCGGCCAGCTTGGATTAGTTCCGTGATCTTTCTATTAGCAGCTCGAATTTCTTGAGGAAGTTGGGAAGGACTAGCTTTCAAAGTCGAGAATATTCTATGAGACTGGTATTGCCATTGTTGTCTGCAACAGAGACTACGCCGGAGCATAAGTGAAGTAAAAGAATTTTCGCAAAGCGAATGAAACAACCAAATTTTATGCCGCATTAAGAAATCCAATGATATCAAGCTTCAACTCAACTCAAGTCATCATACTCACGGCGCAGGGGCGGAGCTAGAATTTTAAAATAGCCGAGACTAATGAAATTGCAATATCTGATTCCTTTTATAGATTCAAACTCGGCGATTATAGTATCATTACTAATCTTTTAGACCAAATTCATTTCAATATAAATAATCATGGGATCTGCCAAAAAAATCATCTTCCATCTATTATGAAGAACTGTCTTGGCAAGTTTCACAGCCCCAGACGCTCGCTTTGTAGTTGTCGTAGACATAGGGAGAGTCAAAACAAGACGAATTAACCTGAAAAATAAATTAAATAAATTAGATCGTATAAATATACTAGAAAAAATAGTATATTAATCAAGCATTTAGGTAATATAAGCAAACTAAAAAAATAATAAAATAAAAAAACATAATGAAGAATGCATTGTGGGTTTTTGTACACAATCAGGCCAAGCATCTACACCTTTATAAGAATGAGTACATGATCATTAACAAGTACAATTAAGCTAAAAACATGTTTCTCAATTGATATAAATTTTAACATAAATTAGAGACTTCAAGTAAAACAAGTACACCAAAGAACATTTTTACCACTTCTCTACCTCATAAAAATAACCCCAGTGCCCAATAACACCAAAGGGGTTGTTGAGTCAAAAAGTGGGTGCCGCTCACTTGTTTTGATTAGCAGCCTTTTGTTTACAAATTGGGGGCTTTGCATTAAATTTGGTGGCTGAGCATTAAATTTGTAGCCGAAATTTTGCACCAATTCTGCACCAGCTTTGCACCAATTTTCAGCTATAAATATGAGCAAAAACACAACAGAAAAATCACAACAAAAACATAACAATACAGAGAGAGAGAAAAAGAGTAGAGAGAGTGTATTCATACGGGCTTGTGTGAATTGTAACATTCAGTTTATCCTCTTCTTCTAGTTCATTCTCCTGGCTTGGTTCGCCCCCAGACGTAGGATTTAATCCGAACTGAGTTAACAAATCT